TTTGAAGAGAAATAGAAGATTTCCGCAGAAGAAAAGGAAGGATCGAGAAGAATGGAAAGTTCCCGATTTAAGTCAAATCTGGGCGAAATGGAAAGATCGGATAGCCAAGATGAGGAGTATATAAAGAGGAGGTCTAGGGCAGAAGCATGGACACGAAATCAGACTTAGAAGAGACGGCTACTAGCTTAGAATTTAGGACTTAGCGTTTAGACTAGCAATTCAGATCCATAGAACGTTTTAACGTCTAAGTTCTTCAATTCTACTTGTAACGGTTGTCGATTCTTATTCAATAAAAGCTTTCTTACAATTTCTTATCTCTTTATTCTTTGTTGTTCATCCATATTCCTTTAAACTCGTTTGTTTTAGTGATTTCCGCAGAGATCCAGGACCTCGGGAAAATTAGGGTTTTTCCCTAAGTTTCCATAATNATCTATCTGAAATCGCGGAAAACGTAAGCCCGCTAGTAGGACTCTCGGGAGAAATCACTATGACCCTCGGAACGATCAACTTGGCAGTTCGCGCCGGGAGCATAGTGAAAAACGTCGAGTTCGAAGTCATCGATCGACCTATGTCCTATAACGCAATCGTAGGAACACCGTGGTTGAATTCGATGCAAGCAATTCCGTCAACGTACCACATGTGTCTCAAGTTCCCGACCCCGAACGGAATCGAGACTATATGGGGAAATAGACGAGCCTCGCAGGTTTGTTACGCCGCGGATTTAAAACGAAAAAATCTGCCGATCGACATCTCTTCCAAAAAGAAAAAGAAGTCGATGATTCTCGACAACTACCTAGGGCAAGACAAAGCGGAAAATCGACAATCTGTGGGTATGAATGAATTGTGTGGGAACCGTTGAAAGCACATACAAACAGATAATACAAAATATATTACAGATAGGTTCCAAATATTATATTAACGTCATTGTCATCAGACATCGCAATAAATATAGATATAATGCAAAGTACACAGAAAATGGTTAACTTAAGCAATTACATCCGTGTGACTATATTATTTACATGTCTTAAATAGTATAGTCATATTTTTCTACTTTTTATTCATTTTGTATCCAAACTCAGAAATATATGTGGGACAACATGAGAAGCATCAAACAGACACTGATATGAACTCAGAAACATGAGAAGTACTACAATTTTAACCGTGTAAATATGTACTTTCATTTCTCATATAGTTTATTCATAGTTAGTATATCATTATTCAATGTCTACCCCACAATACAAAGCAATAACATGTTTTGGCCAACATAAAAAAAGCAACCCACAAACTCAGACATGGCCATGAAAACATTTAACCTAGCTTACTATGTTTACAAACCTGGGTGCTTATACTATAAACATCTCTTACATAGTACAGATTCAAATACCACATATATTTAATTATTCTATGCACTTGTAAGACTATCTCCTATACCACATATGTTTCAAAACACGACACAACAATAGGTTGACAATATAATACTAACATTTTGCATATGTTGTAGACAAATAATTAACACTATCAATGATAAGATACTCGCAGAGTTTTATATACAAGATTAATGAGATATTGCATCTAACCCTTCTTACTATACTATTACAATTTCTAAAGTTGTATAGTTTTATTACAACATATAACACATTCGGCCAAAAACACGAACCCATAAACTTATATTGGGCAACAGAAGGAGACAACACAAATATGGAGAGTTCCAGGTTTAAGTAGCGAAAATCCTAACCAAGTTCGGAAACAAAAATTGTTCTCTCGCTTACCTTTTTCGTCGTACGGTGGTAATCACTTCCAACCAAATCTGAACAACAAAATAAACGGCATTTCCAATGTAAGTGTTGTTAATGCAGGGCAGGATGATTTCGAAACTGATGAAATGTCTCAATATGATATTCAATCAAACCATACGTAACCGATTCAGTTGTTGTTGAAAAGAACTCACTGCCGTGAAATTTTGTATCCCACTTCTGTTGTTATGACGACCCCATTGTTATAGGTTTCAGATTTATCATTTCTTCAACTCTGACTAACAATCGAGTACCCGATTCCGTTTCTCCAAAATGATGTTGTTCGGCGCACGAAAAAATTAAATAATTTTACTTTCTTTTCAGTTTATATGATAAGGATAAAAATATAGATGTCTTTACTTTTCACGCACAGATAGGGATAGTTTAGGTACTAAACTTAACATTCTATAATATATCGTACCCTAGAAATTGTTATGTGCATAACCTTAATTTTTTTGTGCTATGTATATTGCTCCAAATTTCTCGAAATATATCTAGTATTTGTGAGAAAAGAAAAAAAAAATCAAATAAATTGTTCTTTTGACCCAAAAAAAATTGTATTAATTTTCTTTTAAGAGAAGAGAAATTCTCTGAAAGGAGAATTTTGCTAAGGGTAAGAGAGAATGCATTTGACAAAGCTTCTGCAGAAATCGGACATATATACCATAAGATATTTCTTTTATATATAATCTTTACATCAAAAAAATTGTAGTGCCGATCTGGTTTTGATTGCTCGTGCTCGTTGTTGTCGTTCGCCCATAATCCTTCAGATGTTTCGCATGTTAATTGCAACATGAATTATGTTTTCGCCTAACTTTTCTTCAGTTTAGCATTAAAAAGTGGAGACTTGAATGTTTGTATAATATTCAATGTATGATGACAGTCCTAATGAACATTCAATTTATATGCATTTCCTGTTAAATTTTTTTATTTTGATGTTTAGTAATAATCTGATAGTTTTTTGGGTATTGATTGATCTTTGAAATTTATTACGAGACATATGCTTGGTTTTGGTGTTTAAAGACTGAGCAATATATATACATTTTCTTCATATGGTTAGTTGTAATGGGGAGAGAACCAGTGGACAAACACATGGATAAGAACCCAAGCAGTATCACAGGAAGTTCAACTGGATCAGCAGAGGTTCAGGAATGCATTGATCACAACTTGGTTGCCCATGATGATGTCGACGGATCTGAATCTCGTACATCTTCTTCTGACAATAAGAAGAATCGAAACACACGTAAAACTCGCAGCATGAATTACACTGTTCCAAAGCCATTCTCTCTGTCTCCTTCTTCCAAAAGAACATCAGTTGATAATAATAATAATAATAATAATAATAATAATAATAATAATAATAATAATAATAATAATAATAATAATTCGCTGGGAAATGCTGTTAGCCACAACTCTTCTTTAGGAACAAGAGGTTCACAGGTAACATAATATTTGCTCTATTCTTTTATAGTGATTATAAATCTTTTTCTTTTAATATCTAACCACTACAGAACTTTGTTGCCTAGTCCTTAGCCATATATGTAGAACAGCTACATCTGTAAGAAGTGATAAACCCAAGATAACGGTTGGAGTTTCTCCAACGTTTGAAAGAAAATCACGGCTAGAGAGACATAAAGAGGTATTTGGTAACAAATAAGCTATGTTCATTTCCTCTTCCGTGCTGATTTGCTAGTTATCAACATATTATGGTTTCAGTTTTACAAGAAACTAGAGGAAAAGCAGAAAGCACTTGAGGAAGAGAAGAGAGAAAACAAGAAAAGGCTCAAGGTAACAACATATATATATGCACATTAGTCAACCGAACCTCTTGGTACTAAAAAATGGTGTACAAATTTGCTTTATATAGCATGAACCAATGATCTTATACATGTTAGATTGAATATAATTATGTTTTAAAATGTAATATTGTTATTCAGGAAGAGCAAGAAGTCGTCGCTAAGCAACTCCGGAATAACATGGTGTACAAAGCTAATCTTGTACCCAATTTCTATTATGAGGCTCCTCCACTCAAACTTCAATTGAAAAAGGTATTGAAACAAAACCATTTTTAACTTGTTCTTTGCTTCCTAACATCATGTGGTTTGTTGTTTGACACAGTTTCCACTGACTCGGCCCAAGTCACCAAACCTTAACCGTAGAAATAGCTGCAGTAACACAGTTAACTCATCACATCAGGAGGTGAAAGGCAATCATTGTGCTCGATATAGACACAGTGTAGGCGGTTGCAAGGAAAAATCAATAGCGAGTAATATCCCAAGGACTCCAAATGTGAACAAGTTCACAAAGGGAACACAACCAAAGTCTAGAGAATTTTGTGGAAGAAACAAGAGTGGCCATGAGCGAGTGGTGGGTGAGAAATTCATTGATGTTGTGAGTGAAGCTTAGTTATAGTTTTGTTTTGACTAACTTGGTGACTGAGGAACAAGAAAAAAAGGTAAGAAGCAATTGTAAGGGGACAGAACAGATTTTAGAGTGAAGAACAATTTCAAAGTTTCACCTTTTTTCTCAATGTTCTAGATTTGATTGCTTATGCAGCTACTCTCACTTTCATATGATCTCACTACAAAAAAAAAAGTCTATTGTTACGCTTTTTTGAGACTAAAACTTTTCGACACAAATTTGTGACATATCGGATACTATTTTGTGACTGAACTTTTCTTTCAAGAAAGAGTAGTTATTTCGTCACAATATTGTGACTGGTTTTGTCGTAACCAAATTTTGTCATAATTAGTGACGAAAACAAGACGAAAATAAATGAGACAAAAGTTGTGACATAATTGTGACTATAGTTAATGTTACTATTGCAACAGATATGTAACTAAAACTTGCGTCTCCATTTTTGACGATCAAGTAACTAATATTTGTGATGAATTCTTACAAAATGATGAAAAAAATAATGTAGTAAATTGTGACTAAAAATACAGTATATATAAGTTTCACTTATAATCAATTTTTGTCTCAAATTAATTGAAATGACGCTTCCATAATGAGAAATACATAATTCAATAATGTTGCCAAACCTAGAATCTGACGAGGAGGAATCATATAGCAAATTTAAAAGCTTCATGTTCAGACTTGGTTTTGACTGGTAAACTTTATATGAATAAACTATGTAAAATCTACATTGCTTAGACTTACAACCTTATGTTTATTTTCTACATGTTCAAATGAAGTGGAAAGTGTCACCAACAAAATATGAATTATATCTAATTAATCCTTTAGTATTTACTCTTTTTCTCTTTGCATACGTTTTATGTTTTAGGATTGTATGATCGAACAAGAATGACACCAAAAAGGCCTGACATGTCAGTGAAACTCCTTGTAAAGATGTAATTTGATTGGAATAAAAATGGTTTCCCTCTAAAATTTTGAAAAATTAGTTTCCCTAAATTTTAGGGAATATATTTATTTAAAAACTTAATTGACAAACAAAATAGACTTTATAAAATAAAAACTAAAAGCTAAAACTTGATTGGAATAAAAATAGTTTTTAGAAAAACTAAAACCAAAAACTAAAACAAAAACTACAAACAATCAACTTCTAATAAATCTTTTATTATAATTTTATAGTTCTACGACTGAGATGGATTTATGGTAAATAAAGTCTTTAACTCTCTTCTTTTATTTTAGCTTTGAAGTTTTTTAAATATAATTACAAAGAAAATGACATGTTTAAGATAATATATTGTGTGTCACGGAAGTGTTGACTTAGTTTAGATCTACAACGAAGAAGAGATCCAAAGCTTCTTTCTGTACCAAAGAATAATTTTTGACGATTTGAAGAAATCGAGTTAATGGACCTTGTTGATTTCTTCTTCGATTGGCATGAAGAAACTTCAGTCCTCAACCCACCAATTAATTTTCTTGTTGGCACTGCAATTCTCAAGCACTTCACTGTTGGAGACTGAACCCTTGTGGGAATCTTCGTTTTGGCTCAGGTTTGTTTACTACTCTCTAGTAAATTGACTAATTCAAGTTTCTTTGAAGACATGCAATTCTCTATACTTGTCATGTTGTTTACTAGTCCGAATGTTCTGTTCGTTTAATGGATTTTACGTTAGAAAGCCAAATTGTCAAAATGGAAGAGCAGCTGCAGTGACAGCTAGAACGCACAAGCAAAAGATGAGTTTCTGAACTGCCACAACAAGGTAGCTTCCTTGTCACAATCGTTAACTATAGAATCTCTATCTACAAGTCTCTGGACACCCCAATCTCTACCGCTTCCTACGCTTTTGGTAACAATAATTCTGGGTTTCAGTTTCTATTGATCTGGGTAGCTTCAAAATCTCGTCTTTATAATCTTTGTAGTGTTTATCCTTTTGCAGATCACGTGTTCAGACGAAAGGTCCACGAATGCCTGACTCTATGAGCTTCTCACCTAGGATATTCAAGCTGCTATCAGGGTTTCAATGGTAATCTAATCTGATGCATTCTGGAGATTGTTTTTTGCTTTCATAGTTTTGATTTTTCGAGCTACTGTGATTTGTTAAGTATGATCAAACTATGTCCTAAGAATTCTACAGAACACTGTTGACATTTTAAGAACCTAAAGTTTTAACCAAAAGACAGGTTTTGTGGTCAGACAACTATAGTATTTCTTGTGGTCAGACAATTATAGTATTTCTAATAGGTTCTTGTGGTCAGACAACTATAGTATTTCTAAGACAGGTTTTGAATGTTATTTGAAGGACCAGAAACAGCTGCTTTGAAGGAGAAACTGAAGTCTGAGCTCAGCATCATCACGGAAGATGCTCTAAGTGAGATTTACTGTCACTGAGTGTGTTGTTGCTGCTTAATATGCTATAAAAGAAACAGCTGCTTAAGATGCTCTAAGCGAGGTTTAGTGTGTTGAAAGTAAACTTGAGAATAACTTGCGACCAAGTTATACTAGTTTTATGAAAAGGAAAGATTAGAAAGAAAGGGAATACGAGAAATGTTAAGAATGAGAAAAGTTAAGTTATGAGAGTTTAGGATCTATATAAGGAGATATTGTCTTGTAATATCTTCTATGAGTTTTGAGAGAGATCTTGTGAGAGCTTGAGTTTTTGAGAAAGTTTTCTTAAGCTAATAATAAGANTAAGAATGAGAAAAGTTAAGTTATGAGAGTTTAGGATCTATATAAGGAGATATTGTCTTGTAATATCTTCTATGAGTTTTGAGAGAGATCTTGTGAGAGCTTGAGTTTTTGAGAAAGTTTTCTTAAGCTAATAATAAGAGTTGAGTTATTCTTATTGATCTTGTGTTCTTGAAGTTCATATATTGAGTCTAAAACAATAATTGGTATCAGAGCCAACATGAGTGATACATTGGCGATTACCACCAATTCTGTTGCAAAGATAAAAGATGGAGGATCATCCATAAGTTGTCCAATGCTTACATTATCAAACTACACAGTTTGGGCCATCCGAATGAAGCTTCTTCTTAAAGTGCACAAGGCATGGGAAACAATAGAAACAGAATCAGAAGACAGAGAGAAGAATGATGTAGCAGTCGCACTCATCTTTAACTACATACCCGAAGCACTTGTTCTTCAGATTGGCGAGATAGATAATGCAAAGAAGGTTTGGGAAGCTATTAAATCAAGACATGTAGGCGCAGACAGAGTAAAAGAAGCTAGGTTACAAACACTTATGTCTGAATTTGAGAGACTTAAGATGAAGGACAACGAAACAATTGATAACTTTGTGGGCAAGTTATCCGAAATCTCATCAAAATCTGCGGCGTTAGGTGAAATCATAGAAGAACCAAAGCTCGTCAAGAAGTTTCTCATGTGTTTACCTAGGAAGAAATACGTCCATATGGTGGCCTCACTGGAGCAGATGCTGGATCTTAATGTCAAAAGCTTCGAAGATATCATTGGACGTCTCAAAGCTTATGAAGAAAGAATTAAAGATGAAGAAGAAGAAGCACAAGAGAACCAGAGTAAGTTAATGTATGCTAATACGGAGCAACATCAAGGCTATCCTCAGCGTGATTATAATGGAGACTATCGAGGCAGAGGTCGTGGCGGAAGGTTTTACGGCAGAGGACGAGGATGAGGAAGATATGCAGACATGTCAAAAATCATTTGTTTTCGATGTGATAAGAATGGGCACTTTGCAGCCTCATGTCCTGATAGACTACTGAAGTTACATGAGGCATACGAAAGCAAACAAGAAGATGAGACACACGAAGCTGATAAACTACTAATGCATGAAGTGGTGTATCTAAACGAGAGAAGCATCAAGCCTAAAGAGTTTGAGACAAACCTTAATGGAGATAAACTCTGGTACCTAGACAATGGGGCTAGTAATCATATGACCGGGAACAGAAAGTACTTCAAGACTATTGATGAGACTGTCACTGGTAAAGTGAAATTTGGTGATGATTCAAGGATAGACATTAAGGGAAAGGGTTCTATCATGCTTCTGAGTCAAGACGGCAGTAAGAAGATCCTAACAGATGTGTATTTTATTCCAAAGCTGCGGAGTAACATCATTAGCCTTGGTCAAGCTACCGAGTCCGGGTGTGAAGTGAGAATGAAAGATAATGTTCTAACCCTATATGATAAAGAAGGGAAGCTCATTACAAGTGCAAGAAGATCTCAAAATCGACTGTATAAAGTTCTCATGGAGATGGCTGATGCGCAGTGTCTACAAACTAGAGTTCAAACCGATGGAGCAAGATGGCATGCGCGACTTGGCCATATTGGAATAGATTCAATGAAGTTGATGATGTAGAAGGAACTAGTACTGGGAATACCAAAGCTCGATGTGAACAAAGAAACGTGTGAAGCATGTATGCGTGGAAAGCAAGCTAAACTTCCGTTTCCACAAGCAACTACATACAGAGCAGATGAGAAACTCGAGCTTATACACGGAGATCTCTGCGGACCGATCACACCACCAACTGCAGGAAGTAACAGATATATATTTGTCCTTATAGACGACCATTCTCGGTATATGTGGGCAGTTTTAATGAAAGAGAAAGGAGAGGCATTCGAGAAATTCAGAGCTTTCAAGAGCATTGTCGAACATGAGACGAGACTGTCCATAAAAACATTTAGGACAGACAGGGGAGGAGAATTCACGTCAATAGAGTTCAACACGTTCTGTGAAGCATCAGGGATACAAAGACATCTCACTGCTCCCTACACACCACAACAAAACGGGGTGGTGGAGAGGCGTAATAGGACTTTGATGGAGATGACTCGGAGCATTCTGAAGCATATGAATGTTCCGAATTACTTGTGGGGAGAAGCTGTAAGACACGCATGTTATCTTATCAACAGGGTAGCTACTCGATCATTGAAGTTACAGACACCGTATGAAGCGTTTAAGGGAAAGAAGCCTAGTGTCCAGCATTTAAGAGTATTTGGATGTGTTGGATATGTGAAGAATGATGGACAGTATCTAAAAAAATTGGATGATAGATCAAGAGCGTTGGTTCACCTCGGGACCGAACCAGGATCCAAGGCTTATCGTATGTTTGATACCACAAACAAGAAGATAGTAGTGAGCAGAGAGGTTATTTTTGACGAGTTTAAACAATGGAAGTGGAATGACACCACTAGCGACGATGAACCGGGTCACTTCAGACTAACTCTAGGAACATCTGGTAATCAAGGAATAAGAACAGAGGAGATAGAAGAGGATTATGTTGAGCGCGAAGAAGAAGAAGAAGACGAAGAGAAGAACGAATGCAGTGAAGAAGAAACAACTGAAAATATTGGATCCTATGAACCTGAGAATACAACAGATGCAGACGTTATGGATGAAGTACAACCGAGAAGATCATCGAGGACAATCAAGAAGCCATCATACTTAGATGATTATGTTTTGCTTGCGGAGGAAGAAGCAGAGTATCTGCTGTTATCTCTCAATGAAGAACCATGGAGTTACACGGAAGCCATGGAAGAAGAGGTGTGGAGAGATTCGTGTAGAGAAGACATACCATCCATTGAGAAAAATAGTACATGGGAACTCGTTGATTTACCTCAAGGTGCTAAGGCAATAGGTCTAAAATGGATCTTCAAGATTAAGAGAAACGCAGATGGAAGTGTTAACAGATACAAGTCGAGATTGGTAGCAAAAGGATACATACAACGTCATGGCATTGACTTTGAGGAGGTTTTTGCTCCTGTAGCTCGAATTGAAACGGTCAGGTTCATAATAGCGTTGGCAGCTTCTAACGGATGGAGAGTCCATCATCTTGACGTAAAGACTGCATTCCTTAACGGAGACTTAAAGGAAGATGTATATGTTTGTCAACCAGAAGGCTTCAAGATTGCAGGCAAGGAAGACAAAGTATATAAACTAAAGAAAGCCCTGTACGGACTAAGACAAGCTCCGCGAGCCTGGAATGAGAAGCTCAACAAGGTGCTGGAAGGGCTAAAGTTTCTTAAATGCTTTAAGGAACCGTCCTTGTATGTCAAGAGGACACGAGATCACTCCATAATAGTCAATGTATACGTTGATGACCTCTTAGTAACAGGGTCGTGTTCAAAGATGATAAGTAAATTCAAGAAGGAGATGTCAGGAAATTTCGATATGAGTGATCTTGGGTTACTAACATATTATTTGGGCATTGAAATAGAACAAAGAGAGGATGGTATCACACTCAAGCAGGAAAGATATGCGAAAAAGATACTGAATGACACCGGTATGGAAGGATGTAATCAAACTCATACTCCTATGGAGTTTGGATTAAAGTTATCCAAGTCACAAGAAGAAGAACAGGTCGATGCAAGGGAGTACAGGCGTAATATTGGGTGTTTAAGATATCTTCTGCACACCGACCTGATCTTTCATTCTGTGTTGGACTCCTGAGCAGATATATGCACGAACCAAGGACCTCACATGCGGCAGCACTGAAACAAATTCTGCGATATCTTAAAGGTACAACATCTCTTGGTCTAAAGTTCTATCGTAAAGAATCTGTGGAACTAGCTGGATACAGTGACTCGAGTCACAACTTCGATGAAGACGATGGAAGGAGTACCACTGGTCACGTATTCTACTTGAATGAATGTCCTATATCCTGGTGCTCAACTAAGCAAGAGACAGTTGCGTTATCATCATGCGAAGCCGAGTTTATGGCAGCCACTGAAGCTGCTAAACAAGCAATTTGGTTGCAGGAACTGCTAGAAGAAGTAACCGAGAAACCTTGCAAAAGAGTGGTGATTCACATAGACAATAAATCTGCAATAGCACTCACCAAGAACCCTGTGTTTCATGGACGAAGCAAGCATATACATAAACGCTACCACTTCATTAGAGAATGCGTGGAGAACGAGCAAGTTGATGTCAAGCATATCCCGGGAAGCAAGCAACGAGCTGACATCCTCACAAAGGCACTTGGAAGAATCAAATTCAAGGAAATGAGAGAGCTAGTTGGAGTACAAGATTTGAGTGAAGATAACATCAAGTTTAAGGGGGAGAATGTTGAAAGTAAACTTGAGAATAACTTGGGATCCAAGTTATACTAGTTTTATGAAAAGGAAAGATTAGAAAGAAAGGGAATACGAGAAATGTTAAGAATGAGAAAAGTTAAGTTATGAGAGTTTAGGATCTATATAAGGAGATATTGTCTTGTAATATCTTCTATGAGTTTTGAGAGAGATCTTGTGAGAGCTTGAGTTTTTGAGAAAGTTTTCTTAAGCTAATAATAAGANTAAGAATGAGAAAAGTTAAGTTATGAGAGTTTAGGATCTATATAAGGAGATATTGTCTTGTAATATCTTCTATGAGTTTTGAGAGAGATCTTGTGAGAGCTTGAGTTTTTGAGAAAGTTTTCTTAAGCTAATAATAAGAGTTGAGTTATTCTTATTGATCTTGTGTTCTTGAAGTTCATATATTGAGTCTAAAACAATATAGTGTCACTGAGTGTGTTGTTGCTCTTTCTGAGAGTGATTTGCCTTCAGCTTCCCTTATCATCGAATTCTATAAGTTTCTTGATCACATAGTCTGTGCTGTTACTTCTTTTGCTTCTGTTATATCTTGTCTCCTCTTAGATTTTTCCGTTCTAGCTTTTTTCTTTTGTTTGTTTTAGACATGTGTGCACTTTTACAAGATAATGGATGCTGGTTTATCATAGCATGTGTTTTTAACAGGAATATGTAAATTCTGGGATTTCATTTGTGAGGGGGAAAAAGAGACCTTATACTAATCAACGTGAGGACCTCTCCCATGGGAAAAATCTCGAAGAAGTTATATGGCGTCTGTTGCATATTCTGAGGGATATGCTTTTATCTTTGGCCAGGTCAAAGCCGTTTAATAGACAAGCGAGGTATACTTTTTTATTTTGTTTTTTGGTCTATCTTTTGTTTAATGGCGCCTTACTTTGTTAATGGCGCCTTTCAAGTTACAGTATAAGGGGATATTTAGTGGAAAAACCAGGAAAAATTGTAAATATTTAATGGAAACCGGGAAAATCCCTTAAAAAGTGGTAAGAATATTCAGAATATCTTAATATCTAATTAGTATATAAAGGAAGTAATATTAGTTACCTCTTCTCACGTTAAAACCTAAGAACCTATACTACATCTTAGAAAATCAAAGCTGTCAAGGTCTCAGATCTCTTTGGTTTTCTTATTCTTTGCAGTTAATCTTTTTGTTTTGAGTATTGTTTGTTATGCATGATCTAATACTTTTGAGCTGCATCTTTTCTATGATTTCTTTTGTACTATTCCTTCATTGCTGTGATGAAGAAAACCCACCAGAAATCTGATGGAACATATGTTGATGAAAGAGCACGCTTAGTTGCAGAAAAATATGATGAATATGTACAAGAAAAATTGTCACTTGTTGAGCCTTCTAATGGAGAGATTTTGACAGATCCTCTTACTATAGAGGAAAGAAATGAAATCTATGTGAAGGTAATTTTCTATCACATTTCAAAAAAAAATTTCCTGGTTTTTCTTTGAATTTGGAGATACGATTGATTCTTTGCATGACTTTGCTTAAATAAAGTTCTCTGTGTATTTTAGTTGTATATGTGTTTATATGTGTAACTGTTATTTTTGGTAGGTTGCTGGAATATCAAAAAAAGGTTGTGAATTTTGGACTTGGATCACTTCAAAGTGGAGTTTATATGCCACTAGATGGTTCTGCAGTTTCCCCACAAGCTGTTGAAGATGATGGTCAGTAAAAGAGCTGGAGTCAGAGTTGCAAAAGAGTAATGAAGAATAAGGTCAGTTTCAGAATAGGGTTGAAGCAATGGAGAAAATGTGTTGAATCCAACCGCGATATGAAGTCTTCTCCAAGTTGTATTTGGTTTTAGTATCTGTCGTGTTTTCTGTTAGGTGTTTTTAGCTTGGTGTTTCTAGTTCGGTTTTCAATTGGTTTTCGTTGGTTTACTTTTGCAATTTCAGTTTACTTAGTAAACTTATTGCCATTTTATTCTTCCGCTTTAGATTTGAAATCTATGCATTTAATGATTATTTTTTATTTACATCATCTTGTTTAAAATTTAAGAATTTATTTCAGTTATATCTATAATTTCTATTTTAAAATAATTTAATAATAAATTTTAACAAATATATGACAAATTTAAATGATAAAATAAAAACATATATTTCATAAAATTGTAACCAATTTGAACTAATATGTTACTATTTTACAGCCATAGTTTGTAACATTTAGTTACATTTCTTTCGTAATAAAAAGTGACAAAGTAATAACATAATAATTGTTACAAAATACAACAGCTTTGTAACGCATTTCTAGTACATATTAAAGACGGATAAATATCTATTCTTTAGTCATTGATTCTTACGTTTTGTGACTAGTTTTTTCGTAACAATATGCTACAAAATTGAGACTTTAAATTTGTTATGAATAATGACAGGTTAGAAAATTTATAAAGTCAGAATTGGTGACGGTCATATGACTATATTATCGTCTATATTAGTGATGTTTTGTGACAGCAGATCCGTCACTACAAGTGACATAGTTGCCACATTAAAATGGTTACAAATTGTGATAGTTTGAGACAATTTGATAAGTAAGAAATTGTAACAGTTTTGTTACCAACGAACGGCGTAACTATGTGTGACGATTTGTTACAAAAAATTTAATCGCAAGAAATTGTGACATTTTGGTTACTCCAAAACATTTGTGACACACGTAGTGCAACCATTCAAAATTAGTAACAAAAATGTAACAATGATTATATTGTTACGAATTCTTTTCTATTGTGACAAAATTTTTTGTCACAATATCCTTATTTTCTTGTAGTAATCTATTTTGACAGTTGATGTGAAATGTATGTTAAGGTTGTTGTGTCAAAATTTAATTATGGTAATTCTGTGAATATATGACTTACAAGCATTACAATTAGTTCTAGCCTTCTGGGTTTTTGTCTCTCTAGAACATCATGTCATTGAGCCTTATGTGGCTCTAGAGTGTCAGATTATTCAGATCTTTGACATACATCTCCAATCAATGGCTTTCGTCACCCTTGTTCTCATGTTCCAAGAACTGTTGTTGAATGTTACGGAAAAAAGTTATTAGTCTCTCAGCTAGATGAAAATTGGAGATTTTGACCAATCAAATCGAGACCTTTTACTTCAAAGTAAATAAAAGGAATAGTAGGATTCCAGTGTTTTATTAAGAAAAATATAGTCATGAACTGTTTCTTTCTTTCTTGCTTTTGTTAAAACCATCAACCTTTACTATGAAGAATTTGCAGAATTGTTTTAGTTTGGACTTAGAGTATCTGATGTATAAGTCCCCTTAGTTCAGTCGTTTGACTAAGAATTCATTAATGCTTCTATACTAAGGGGTCCAAGTTTCAATCTCCGGTGAAAGCAAATTATTAAACAATTATGCAAGTTACGAAGAAATGCTTACAAGGGATAAACTCGGTCAGGTTTGAATCTTCATAGGATGGCTCATGTGATCCTCATAAGGCATGTAGTATTGTCGGTTGTCGAATCGTCTATTAATCTTTCTCATAATTGTAATTTATAATAAATCAGTGTATAAAAAAGCTGATTATTCGCACTATTTTTTCTTTAAAATAAAATAGTCTATAATACATAATAATAAAGGAGAGTTTTTTTTGTTCATAAGAGGTAAATAATGCAACCTGTCTTTTTTCTTTTGGGCCAGTTTCGTAGAGGGTTTTCTGTAAGATCGGGCTTATAATTTTATTGAGACCCGTTTATGACTTAGATCTCTCCTATCTTCGTCGCTAACTCTGTGTCTCGAGTTTGGCCGCCGAAAGTTTTTTTTTGGCCTCCGAAAGTTGTGGAGATGTAAAACGACGATGAACTCTCAGGTCCGTTACAACGTTTCCTTTACACCTCCTTTACTCCCAGATTATATGTGATTACCCCACTCTCGAGCATTCAATCTAACCCTGTTCAATCCCCAAAGTAACTGACTTGAGCTTCGAGTATAAATATCCACTCATCCAGACATGAACCTCACACCTTCGAAAAGTTCCAGAGTATAGAATAAAGTCCCTACCAATTTTCTTTCGTTGAGTGACCCCATGATCCAAAACGCTTAGCATGTTCAGAAAACGACATTGGTTTCTACTTTTTAGAAGAACACAACAAAAACAAGACCAACATAATTTTCTGGATTTCAACTACTTTGGAGAAGGTAAATCCCTCTTTTCCGACATTTTGAATAGATTGATTTTGGGTTATATATGGAATGTGCAAAATTACTGGATCTGGAGATGTACTGAGTTATTTTTCTTTGTCTCTGGAAACTATATGTTTCTTCATTTTCCTTATTACTGTTTGATGTTACTCACTTGTGGGAATTTAGGAGTTTTAGTTAACTGATTAGATGTGGTATGTTTGGGATGAATGAGACAAAGATCTGTGTTCTCAGTCTGTTTGGTAGTTAAGTTGTAATTTGTAAAAAGACCTATCTACAAAATATATATAAGTTGAGGGACCACGTGTATGTGGTCGGGTGGTAGCATGGCATTCTATGGATCCTAGGGGACCTGAGTTCGAATCTGCCTACACTCAGATTATCACAGCGCGTGGCCACCGGGACTTTCACATTCTCTCCGGGGAATGGTTTACCTTTTTTTTTATAATCTGAGCTCAAGTTTATATAATATTTCAACAATTCTGTTATTTCTGATGATATAATTTCAATAGATAAAGCTTTTGTGTTTCTGATATTTTCAGGATCTAAGTCCATGCTTGTCATAATATAAAAATCGAAGTTGTGTTCTATATTTTAGAACAAGGAGATGATGCGGTTCAAAGAGCTAGTACTTTCCATCCTTTCCGAAAGAAAGAAAGAAAACTAATCTGAATGTAGTCTCATAAATATTTTAATCTATTTCTCTTTTCCACTGAGCTCATTTTGCTTCGTCACTATTTGATCTCTTACTTTCTTTCCGTTTTTGATATACTTTTTGTTTCTTCATGAATCAGGAGAAAGAAGCCTAGAAAGAAGCTTTCAGAAAGTATGTAGAGTCAAGTGGAGTTCTTGATTCTCCAAAAGTATTATTTATTTTCCTATATTACTCCATCATTTAACCTGCTTCGGCAGTTTCTGTATCAAATACTTTGATTGGTTTCTGACATAATAATTTGATTTATAATCTTTTGTATGTACTGGAACACAATGCACAATGTAGTTCTGGTTTTTTGTATGAGCAGAATGACAAGCCTTCCTCTGCTATAGAGTAAGTTCCTGGACACCTACTCTGTTTGCTAACCGATACGTATTAGTTCTAAGAGAGTACAATAATTTGGCGACTTATAATCATGAACTTGTATTTTAGTGAACTAGGTGAAATCTTGATATGAATTGGGTCAAAGGGTCTATAACTAATTCTGTCCTCTAGAAGATCATAGTTTTTAATTTGTTTTTCAAGTTCATAAATGCAAATTTAGAATGAGTTTCTGTAAAAATCTTGCAATCATATTATATAATCCTTTGATTTCGAAAATCTCAGCTCTTGATTGGTTTTGGTTATGATTATTTAATATAAGATTCTTCTTTCGTTTCACTTCAGGTTCATTCAGAAAAACCTAGGAGCTCCTTCAGTCTCTGACTATGAGAAGCTTCAAGCTGAGAAGTCTGATCTTCAAATAAAGTACAATGAGCTTTTTGCTAAACATCAAGAAACGTTGAGAGAGGTATCACGTTCTAACTTGAATTTAAAAGTACATCATTAAACCATCTATTGTTGATTATCACAGGAGCATATGCTTCTGTAGTTCCTTATAGTGGTTTTACAATAGTTTTCTTCACTATTTATAGTCTTACACATATTCTGTCATCCTTGATATACTGAAACTACTTGGCTAGGTATCTTAAAATGGTAATACCATCCATAGATTTGACTTCAGCTACAAGGACTCCAGTGATTTTGTCTAGCTAACTCTCCCTGTAGCTAAGTTTTGTCATGGTCATTATTGATAGAAGCCCATTGAAAAAAAAGTGTTTAAATCTGTTTGGCACATTTGTCTGTGGTTAATGTTGCAGTTAGATGGAATGAAGAGCTTGCATTCATGAAACTCTTTGAAAGATGATGAATACAGAGAGGCCATTGAAAATGAACACACGCCTTTGTGGCCCTTTTAGTTTTAGTCTTTTAAGAGAATTTTCATTTTAAGAATACATATGTATGTGGTTTGGTTCATCGTAATTTTCAGATTATTAATGGTTACATATCGACGGAAGTTTCTTATGATCTTGGTTCGAGAAAGCACATGGCAAGACGAAGCGAGGAACAAGGAGATTAGCGATTTATGCCATGGCGCCACAAAGCGCTCGCTTTGTGTATCCAGCAACCAAAAGTAAGCTCTAGACCATATATATGTATATATCATGCAACAGAAGTGAAAAAACCAAATCCATATAATAAAATTCAAAGGTTCTTATAGCAAAACATAACTGAAAATACCAAATAACTGAAATACCAAATAACTGAAAACACCAAATTAAAACTTCAAAAGCAAATGAAAACAGCAGTAGACAAAGCTCTACTCAGATTCAGAATCCTCAAACTCAAAATCTTTGTCGTAGCCAACACCTTCCTCGCCTTCAATGTCATCTTCTTCATCAATTAACTCGAGATGAGAAGGTGATGGACCATACCGTTTCTTCTGAGTTGAAGAATTTGCTTTTCCTTTTCCTTTGTCCTTTGCTGAAAGAGGTGTCTTT